ATTTCTAAACCTAGTAAATTCCCCCAAGTTTCATTTACTAAAGTTTTGTGCAGCTCTTGCCATGAGATCCCTTCATTTTTTATTTTTGTGATAGCTCCCAGAGGGTCATCTCGTGGGTTTCACTAGTCATTGCATGCATGCAGAGACACACACAACTAAGATTCCCTGTTTCATAGTGCTTTGTATACCAGTATATGAGAGACAATAGGTGATTACAACAGAATGATATGGGGGTGCAGAAGATTGTTACAATTAGTTTCATAAGTAGTGACATATCACACTAGTTGTTCAGCCATTGTCAAGTTTTGTAGGTTTCAGAACAAAGATGACCTGGCACAAAGTTACTATGGTGAGAAGCTATATGACTCTGAAAACAAATTTTCCATCCATAGTAAAAAAAAAAATGCTGTTTTTGGTGGGGAGGTAATATTGTTTCGCCCGAACATAATGGTCAGACAGAGATACGTACTCATCAAGAATTGGGATGTGTGAAACTAGGGTTTTGGAGTCACTGCTATCATTATAACCTACTCTATGAAAGAAAAGTCTGGTCTCTCCTTTTACAAAGTAAGTAGCTGTGATACAACCCTGGTGTAACTTCCTAGTTTTCTGCTTTTGCAGTCTTATTTATTGGACTTGTGCTTGCTTGACATCTTTAGCTATAAACTTAAAAACAACAAATGATCTAGTAGCACTTTATAGACTAACAAAACATATAGATGGTATCATGAGCTTTCGTGGGCATAGCCCACTTCTTCAGATGACTGATCATCTAAAGAAATGGTCTGTGCCCACAAAAGCTCATGATACCATCTCATTGGTTTTTTTAGTCAACAAAGTGCTATCAGACCATTCGTTGTTTTTAAGTTTATCCTGTACAGACTAACTTGGCTATCCCCAGAATCATCTTTATCTATGCTGACCACAGTTTTAATGCTAGTTGTGTACATTAATACCGTGAGTAGATTCTTGGTTTGTGGTACCCAATTTGTATGTTTTGTTTTTGTGCTAAAAACTGTGACTCCTAACTCCTTTAAAAATGTATATTCTCATGTAAACCCAGAGCAATAAACCTTTGTGGATTTGAATCCTAATCCAGAATCTGTAACTCTTGGCTGGGTCTTGAAGTTTGTATTACCATCCTCAGTAAAATCACAAGGCTTTAAAAAATAAAGGCAACTCTGGTCTTTTTATTTGCAAGAAAAGTGGGGTGAGAGGGAAGGATTTCTGCAATAAGGGAATTAATTATTCCAATAACAGAAACTCAGAGGAAAGTACACTTAATTCAATTCCCATCTTAGGGTATGTCTACACTACAAAGTTAATTCGAACTAACGGATGTTAGTTCGAATTAACTTTGATAGGCGCTACACTAGCGCTCCGCTAGTTTGAACTTAATTCAAACTAGCGGAGCGCTTAGTTCGAACTAAGTAAACCTCATTGTACGAGGACTAAGCCTAGTTCGAACTTACTAGTTCGAATTAAGGACTGTGTAGCCCCTTAATTCGAACTAGTGGGAGGCTAGCCCTCCCCAGCTTTCCCTGGTGGCCACTCTGGCCAACACCAGGGAAAATCTATTGCCCCCCTCCCGGCCCCGGACCCCTTAAAGGGGCACAGGCTGGCTACGGTGCCCGTGCCAGGTGCAAGTCTGCCAGCACCCAGCCAGCAGACC